GGCGTGAGCACGCGGGTTTAAAAACTCCTCCTCCTCCTCCTCCTCCTCCTCCTCCTCCTCCTCCTCCTACTCCTCGTTTTCCCTTTGTTCCTCCTGCTCCTCTTGCTCCTCTTGCTCCTCCTTTTCCTCCTCCTCCTCCTCGTCATTCTGCTCCTCCTCCCGATTCGGATTCCTGATGTCCCGAAACTTCTCCGAACATGGCCCTCCCTCCTCCTCCTCCTCCTCCTCCTCCTCCTCCTCCTCCTCCTCCTCCTCCGTGCCTTCCTCTTCCCCCTTCTCTTGCAACACGAGGTCCAGACGTGTCAACATGGCCCTCCCCATCCTTCCCCAGAAGGCCACGCCCCTGCAGCCAGGCCGGCAAGGCTCGCCTGCGCCCCGTGCTTCCCGTCGTTGACGACGACGCGGTATCCTCTGGGGCGGGAGACCCACGGATCCCTCGTCACGAACCGTTCGTCGTCGTCGCCGCCGCCGTCGTCGTCGCCGCCGTCATCGTCGCCGTGGCCGTCGTCGTCGCCGCGACGCCCGCGCATTCACGTTATTACCAGCGGCGGGTCGCGCGCGACCGCGCGCGCCACTGCGCTCGCACTTCCGCTCGTCCGACGGGGGCCTGGGCGGACATCATGATTATCTTTCCGCCCACGACTCGTTTGAAGTAATAGTCGGGACAAACGCCTTTGAGAACGGGATCGAGACTTGGCGGCGAGCGAGGAGGGGAAGCGAGAAAAAGAGAGCCTTCTCAGAAAGCTCGGGAGTTCTCTGGCTGTCGGACACGTTTTCTAAGTCTGCCCCAGGCACAGACAATTTCTCAAAGCAGCGGCGGCGCGGGCCGCGCCGCCCGCGTCCGTGCGGCGCTGCCAGGGCGAGCGCGACGCCACCGCGCCTCGTCTCTCGAGCTTGCACGGGGGAGCCCGACAGCAGGGCTGCACCTAAATGTTGTGTATCGTGCTGTGCTTGTTTGAAGGTTCGTTTTGCTCTACATTTAGGTCAGGCATGTCCCCCTACAAGGCGGAATTTGGACGAACAATGAACAAATCATCGAGTCATGCTCAACAACAATATTCAAAAATAGTCAAAACATCGTCCCCGCACTATTTTTGGACTATGCTTGAATAATTCCTCCTGTAGAGGGACACGCCCGAAAGAACTCTAAATGTTTTCCTGTACCCCCCCCTGCCAAAACGAGCCAAAAATACAAAACGCGGCCGACGTCCAGCAGAACAGCGTTTTTAGGCTCAGCTCCCGAGCGAGCCTGCACGGCGCGCCCTCCCCAGAGACCCGACGCTCCCGACAGAAGAACATGGAGCGGCGGGACTCGGGCGGTCCCGGGCCCCCCGGATAGGGGACCGCATGCGAACCCCACCCCCACCCCTGCGATTTCTGAGGGGGGGGGGGGGAGGGGTGCACCTCGCTCGGGAACTCCCGAACGAAGTGACCCCCACCCTCCCCGTCGGAAATCGTGGGGGTAGGGGTGGGGTTCGCACGTGGCCACCCTATCCGGGGGCCGTCGCCCAGAGCCTCGGGACCGTGAACACGACGACTCGGGACGAAAAACCGGCCCTGGGATTAGGTCGGGCATGTCCTCCTGCAGGCCGAGTTTGGACGAACAATCAAAAATACAAAAAATGCTCAAACATGATCAACAAAAGAAGAAGCACAGAAAAATCGTCCCCAGACTATTTTTGACTTGATTTGAATATTCCTCCTGTAGAGCGACATGCCCGACGTCCAGTGGAGGCCAGCCCACAAGAAACCTTCCACAAGAAACCCAACGCTGCGACCCCAGGACGTCCACGGATTTTTGGTGTGGGGACGTCACGCTTTCCATAGCGAAGCCTTCGAAACCCAAGAGTCCCAGGGTACCCTGGAGGCAAGCAGGGTGTTTCTTGGCATGGGCCCCCGCTGTTGCGGGCAATGTCTATATCATAATCCACATCCAGTGCGTCTTGGAGTTTCGGACACTCTTCCCAAGAGGCATGAGGCGCACTGGATATGGATTATAATCTGCCTCCACAAGGCTCGATGTTTATCCATATCCAGTGCGCCTCGGCCTCGCGGCGCCCCTTCCAAGAAAGTCCGAGACGCAGTGGATATGGATATGAATACTGCCCGCAGCTGTAACCCACGCGTCGAGAAAATTGGAGCAGCCACATGTCTGGGCAATGGGCTGCATGCTCCGCAGAGCGCCCGCGCGGCGGAGGTCCTGCGGGCAGCGCCCGCGAGGCGCAACCCCCACCATATCGCTCGGGCGTCCCCTTCCCCCCGTGCACTCCTCGGTCTTCTGCGTGCTGTTTTTTTTCGGGGATGGACAGGACCCCTCGAGGAAAACGGGGTGGAGTGAAAACGGCCTCGGGCCCAAACCTGGCGGGCGCAAGCCTGGCAAATGACGGCCGCGACGCCATCTCCAGAACCGACAACAGACCATCTACTAATCGACGTGTCCGTGTGCGGGTTCTGTCCGCCCCCGATCCCCGTGCATTCCTCGGTCTTCTGCGTGCTGTTTTTGCTAAGTGATCCAGGATGCTCCTCAACAGACTTTGCGTTCGGTTTTCAGACTAGGACAACGAAAAATCAAATAAACATCACAACTCGGAGGACCGCGCGGATTTCTTGGATTCGCGCTGGACCCCCCTCCCTGGCGCTCGGAGCGCGCCAGGGGCGGCGCCGCCAAGGGGGCCCCAGCGCCGATCCGAGAAATCCGCGCGGACCTCCGATGCTTTTTATGTTTATGTCAATGTTCGTTCCTCTACAGACATCCGGCCGCTCCTATTTTTTCGATGCGTGGGCCCCGAAGGTCTGGACCTCTTCCTCGAGGCCAGCTGTTCGTCCCGAGCCGTTGTTTCTCGCGCTCCCGAGGCAGGGCGAGAGCCCCCAGATTGAACAGGGACCGACCGTCCCAGCAGTCCTTCTAGGCCTGCACCACGACATGTTCTTGAAACCCAGGAATGTTCTAAGAACAAAAGCACTGTTCTTAGATCGTAAGCTCGATGTGTGAGAACCCGACAGTCTCAGCCAGAAATGTTCAAAACAACATTTCGTGCAGACCACACAAAGTTCTCAGACCATTCGTTAGTAGGCCTACAGGCGAGCTGCGACGCTTCGCCACTGCTTGACCGGAGGGATGCCCAAAACTGCCCAAATCCCACCGCTGCATTTTTGTTTTGGAGCCCAGCACAGATCCAAGAGATCCGTGCGGAGCGCCAAAGGTTCATGTTTATGGCGTTTCTTGTTCCTCGATCTTCAGAAAGATGACCCAACACCACAGGATGGTTGGGAAAAAAGGCGACGGAACATGGCTCCGGGACGGCCAAGAGGGGGGCGTCCAAGAGGGGGGGGTCGCAAATCATGGCTGGCGGCATGTGCCTGGCCCAAGGGGGGGGGGGGGGGGGCGGGGACGTAATGGAATAAGGAGGGGCGCCATGAAATCTGGGGAAATCTCATGGCCCCCGCCATGATACCCTCTCACCCCCAGTCTTAGGTCGGGCGTGTCCCCCTACAGCCGGATTTGGGAGGAACAAAACAGTAGTCAGAAAATAGTCGCACTACAAATGATCGAAAAATCGTCCCCAGGCGATTTTTCTTGTTTTAACACTTTTTGAGCTGTCCTCCTGTAGAGGGACGCGCCCGACTTACCCCTAGTCGTCACCCCCCTCTCCGCCGCCCCCGATTGGCTGGCCGCTTTCGGCCTCCGGGGCCCTCAACAGGCGGCGGGGCCATTCGGCAACCGCGGCCCGGGATGGGCAGCCCGTGCCCGAGGGGGGGACATGCCGCGAGGACCGGGGGGGCTAAACGCCGTGAGCAGGTCACGGCACAGGGGGTGTGGTGGGTCCACCTCCCATCTCCCTCTCCCTCTCCATCGGCCTCTCTCTCCCTTTCTCACTCTCTCTATCCCTTTTCCTTGTTTCTCTCTCTCTCTCTCTCCTATTTGTTTGTTTTCTCTCTCTCTCTCTCTCTCTCCTTTCGATGTGCACCATGTATATGTACAGATATGCACACATATCCGCTGGCCCCCTTGTGGGGCCATCAGGCTGCGAAGATTAGGCTTGCAGCTCCCTGTGCCAGTTGCAATTTCCAGTTTCCACAGTTACAGTCATGCTTTCTGTTTCTGTTTCCTTACTGCTAATTGTTGCTGAATGCACGAGGGGGGGGGCCGAAAAACGTCATGGCTAGCGTCCCCGAATCGTGTTGTCTGAATTCCCAGGGGGTCGTGGGACACGTAAACAAACCTTAGATTCGCGTCCCCGAGGCCATTATCACTATTAGATTGCACCATATTCGCGTCCCCGAGGCCATGAACCCTTGTAAATCATATGAGAGTCGCACCCCCGAAACCATAATCCCTCGCACATTGCATAATGTTCGCGCCCCCGAAACCAGAAACCTCGGTAAAGTATACAATATTCGCGCTCCCGGAATCATAAACCCTCGTAAATTATACTATGTTCGCGCCCCCGAAGCCATAAACCATTGAAACTTATACAATATTCACGTCCCCAGGGCCATGCACCCTTGAAAATTACACCATGCTTGCGTCCCCGAGGCCACACACCCTGTCAAATTACACAATAGTTGCGTCCCCGGGGCCCCAAACATATGTTTGGATTGCACCATATTTGCGTCCCCGGTGCCAGAACACCATCTAATGTTCGCAATATGTGCGTCCCCGAGGCCACAAACCCTAGTAAATTATACACTTGTCGCGTCCCCGAAGCCATAAACCATCGTAAATTACATCATATTCACGCCACCGAAGCCATGAACCCTCGTAAACAAAGATTGTCCCTCGCGAGAAGTCCCGACATTACTTCGCGCCAGTGTCCAGACATCCCAACACAGCTCTGGCAAGCCCCACTCTAAGAGAGGGGGGCCGGCGGCGAGGGGGCGAAACCCTTACGGATGTACATACATATCCCCTCGCACCATCCCTCCCGACTCGTCGTCCTCCTCTGCCTCCTGCTCTGCCTGCTGATCCTCCTCCAACGCCACCTCCTCCCACCCTCGTCCTCCCACCACTCCCCGTACTTACGAACTCCGCCTCCTGAGGGCACCAGGGCTCCCAACAGGACCCAAGAGGCCACCGAGAGGACGCAGAAGGTGCCTGAGAGGCAACGCAGCCAAGCTAACGAAGCGATACAGCCATGTGACCTTCAGTCGTTTCTACTGTACGTTCCCATGCATGATGGCGAACGCGCGCGGAAACGACCTTGAGCATGTGCACATACATACACGAACGACCTTGAGCATGTATAACTGTTTATATGTACATACATGTACATGTACGTGTAACTATATACACATACAAGTCGACGCAGAACATGCGTTCCCTGTCTACTCGCAGTGATCGTCTTGCACTCGTTCTTCCTCCCTCTATTGGTCGTCCGTCGTTGGGCCTGTCCTATGGGTAATCACTTACTCCCTCCCGCGCTCGTCGCTTTGCCCCCTCCCTCCTCCCTCATATCCCCGGGCGGAGTAGGGGCTGCGTGCTCGGGGCTGGCCTTGTGGGCAGTTCTCGCCGCCCACCTTGGCGGCCACGTACATCAGGTGCCCGAGCAGCTCCTGGACGGCTGCTGGAGCGCTGCGCTACTACCGACCTGCGTCCCACTGCTGCGACTGCTACAGCCAAGCCGTCGTTGCCGTGCTGTTCCACGTTGCCTTGATGTTCGGCCCCGCCTTCTTCTAGCTGCTGCTCCGCTGGGTTACCACTTGACACTTTCATGCTTGACCTCATGATGACTCCACCCCGTCCTTTGGCACAGCGGCAAGAAACAACAACAACAACAACAACAACAGCAACAACAACAACAACAACAACAACCAACAACAACAACAACATCAACAACAACAACAACAACAACAACGACGACGACGACGACGACAACAACAACAATACCAACGACAACAACAACAACAACAACAACAACAACAACAACAACAGCAACAACAGCAACCACAACAACAACAGCAACAACAAAAACAACAGCAGCAGCAACAGCAGCAACAACAACACCACCATCAACAACAACAGCATCATCATCAACAACATCGTGCGGACATGACTCGGGATTTCTGAGAAATGGAGGCTCGGGGTGGTGTGCCCGTCGGTCGAAAGAAGTAGGTAGAAGCATGAAGCAGGAAGGCGTTGGAAGTGGATGGGCCTTTCGCCCGCCCCCTGAGGAGGAAGGACGAGAGAAACCACTCGATCATTGAAGTCGGAAGCCGCCTGAAGTAGATTGGGATCCGACGCCTTGAAAAGTACCTACTTTCAACAAGGGCTCCCAGCTTCGCGCTTCGCGCTGCGCGAAGCGCGAAGTGCGAATAACTTCGCGCTCTCGCGCCGCCTCCCAGGGGAGAAGAGGAGGACGAGGAGGAATCGGAGCAAAACCACGAAGCGCGAAGAACTTCGCGCCCTCGAGGGCGCCCTCGATCATTGAAGTCGGAAGCCGCCTGAAGTAAACTGGGATCCGACGGCTTGAGAAACACCTACTTTCAACGACCGACGGGCATCGGGCACCCCAATCTGCCCAGAGCGGCCCTGAAGCGCTCCGAGAGCTCCGCAACGACTCGCCCGCGTCCGCCGCCTGCCGGAGTCTCTCTCCTGCCCACGGCCTCTCTCTGCTGCCCGGCGCCGGGCGGGGAACCCAACAGGCACCCTGATGGTCGGGGTTGATTGGAGAGGACACACGAGAGTGGACCAGGAAACAAGCGGCACCACTCCAATGATGGCCCCAGGGGGCTTAGCGTATACCAGGAAATCCGGCGTGGAGTTTTGCCTGGTATACGCAGCGGCGCCCGATGGGCCGTAGTGCAACATGGAGGGCCGTAGGTGGGGTGGTGTCGTTTGATTTGGTCGAACAGGACCCTTCCGAGGGCCATGTTGCCACGGGAATGCTTAGGGCATGAGTCGCTCAACACAGGACACAGGGGTACCCCTGGATGGGGAGGCCGACACCCAATCAAGGCCGGCTGTGCTTCCCATGGCCGGATGGCGCAAGGTTTGCCCGGGGGTCCCAAAGCCGTGCGGTGGACAAAGACCTCGGCGCACCGTCCATCACAGCACCGTAGCCCCAGTCGCCCGAATCATCCTCTGAGAACGGCCCAAGTTCTAAAACCGTGCAGTCACCCCAAGTCCCCACCGACTCACCACACGGTGTGCTCACCGCACAGTTAGGGGGCCCCCCTGCTGGTTGGCGCATTGTCTTCGCAGCGCGAAGAAGCCCAAATGGATACTCCTGGGGGGAGGCCTCCGTCGTCCAGGGAATTCTGGGGAGAGCCCTGGGGCATCTGGGGCAAGTCCAGGGAAGAGGTCTCTGAAGAGCACAAACACTAGGAGACAATTCCTGGGCAGTCTTGGCAAGAACGATTCAGGGCTATTAAGCTCGATTCCGAGCCATGGCGATGGAGTAGCTAAGATTCGGTACAAGATAAAGCCCGATTAAAGACGGATGGAGCCCGGTTACATAAACGGAAGTTCACGAAACTAAGCCTGATTTGGCAAGTTTCTGGCCACGGATATGCCAGTGCCCATGCTGAATTAAACCTGCCAGGAGTTGCATCTTGACAAATATCCGGGCGAAAGACCCAACCAATTGCAGGTGCGAGTACCGCAACGCGGGCGGGACGACAGAGAAGCAGCTCCCGATGGGGCCACGAAACGTGTGATGGCACCGTAGGGGTGCCGCGATGGGTGCGGCGGCGCCATGCGAACCCTGCCACTGGGGCCCTGGGTGGAGCTCCCTATGAAGCACAAAACATGTGAGGAGGATGCCGGAATGTAAGCGGTGGCGCCGAGCGAACACTGCCAGTGGGGCCTTCGGTGGAGCAGCCTACTGGGCCACGAAGCGTGTGAGGCGGGGTGTGCCGCAGTGGGTGTGATGGCGCATGCGAGCACTGTCACTGGGGCCATCGGTGGAGGCCCCCATGGAACAACGAAACGTGTGCGGGGTGTGCCGAAATGGGTGCGGTAACGCCATGCGAACCCTTGTGGGGCCACGAAGCGTGTGAGGGGTGTGCCGAAATGGGTGCGGCGGCGTCATGCGAACCCTGCGACTGGGGCCTTCGGTGGAGCTCCCTGTGGGGCCACGAAGCGTGAGCGAACCATGCCACTGGGGCCATCGGTGGAGCTCCCTATGGGGCCACGACAATACAGAATCAGCCTCAGAAGAACCGATGTAACCTCTTTTGGAGTGGGACCCGAGTTGGGCGGGCCAAAAACAGGAGGCATAGGCCAAACCGAACCGCCCAGGCTGATTACTCCTAAAGCGAAGACGGGAGGAGGAGGAGGAGGAGGAGGAGGAGGAGGACGTCTTCATCGCGTGGTTCGGGTTCGGGGCTCCTTGGTTGTCGTCGACGAGAGGCGGCCCGCTGAGAAGGCGGGCCGGCTTCGCACGAGCCCTCGGGCCTTCTGGGAGTTGTGTTTCTGTGCCCTCCGGAGGGTTAGACAACGCCCGACACGGCCCAAGCAACAACTCACTTCCCCCCCCCTCTTCTGGGGCGCGCCGCCCCCTCTCACTTCCCCCCCCCCCTCCCCCCCTCTCACTGAGAGGGGGCATGCCTTCTGAGAAGGCCCGCCACCTCTCACTTCCCCCCCCCCTCTCCCGGGGCGCGCCACCCCCCCCCCCCCTTGCACAATGTCCCCCGGGGCCGTAGGCGACCCGAGGAGAAGGAGGAGGAGGAGGAGGGCGGGGAGGTGGAGGAGGGGGAGGAAAGGGAGGGGGAGGAGGAGATTGATGATGATTGATGATGATGATGATGATGATGATGATGATGATGATGATGATGATGATGATGATGCTGATGATGATGATGTTGATGATGAAGAATATGATGATGGTGATGATGATGAGGAGGAAGAGGACGGGGAGGAGGAGAGGAGGAGGAGGGAGGGAGGAGGAGGAGGAGGAGGAGGAGGACGAGGAGGGAGGCGGAGGAGGGGGAGGAGGGGGAGGGGGAGGAGGAGGAGGAGGAAGAGGAGGAGGAGGAGGAGGAGGAGGAGGAAGAAGAGGGAGGAGGAGGACGCCAGGGCATGGATGCTCGGGGTGCGCCCTCAGGCGCGAGCTCACCTCGGAAGTGCCTGCGGACGAGAGCTGACGCCAACGCCGCACACATCTAAGAGGGCCTCCGACTCCAAAACTCAGCCCCCGAGGAGCGACGCCGCCCCTTCTTCCTCTGCATCCAGAGGCCCGGCAAGCAACTCCTCGAATTCCGAACTTTCGTCCTCGGGTCCACGCCTTGGTCCCGTCACGGCGTCCCGCACCTTTGGAGGCGTGTGCCCCGCCAGAGGAACCCTTCGCCGAGCCCCCGGTCCGAAGCTCTCGGCGGCTCGCAGCTTGCAGGGTGGCTTCGGCCTCCTGCCCCTGACGAACAGCTTCGCGGATGGCAGCTGGGGCTCCTTCCCTTCTAGGATAGAGCCCCTTCTTGATTCTCGAACGGTTGTCCCTGGCTCAACCAGGGCAGGGCTGTCTCAGATGGCGGAAATCCACAGTCGCAAAGCGGCCGCACGAACGGCAAAACTGCAACGAGGAGGACCCCTACCATCCCATGCAAGGTGCGGGGTGGGTCCCCCCCCGCAACTCCCGACTGCAGCTCCTCCAGCCTCTCACTCGGTCGCGGGGCCCTCGCCTCAATCGCGGCCGGCTTGGGAGGGGGGCACGCAGGGGGTCGCACAAAACTTGAGGAGGTCAGCAGCACGCGCGATCTGCAAGCAGCTGCTGCACTGCCACTTCGGCCCAACGTGCTGGAGTGCGTGCGACGAGCGATCGATGGCCCGTTGTCGTCGTGACTTCGGCGGCAGGCGAGCAGCTCGCACAAGGTGATCGGCACCGCGCTCGGTGTCGGCCTCAGCCGCCAGCTGGAGAGCACGCCTAGCTCTCTTCCTGACCAAGGCAGCTGTGGCGCCCCAGAGGTCACAGTGCGCAACTTCATGCACAACCTATCCATCCCAAGCCAGCTCCCGCCGGCCCCCTGTGCTGTTCCTGGGCCTCTGGGGCCAGGGTGACAAAAAGCAAATCTCCTGAGGTATACTCAGGAGCCAACGCCAGCGCGAAGGTGTCGGCCCTCGGGACAGACTGGATTGGTCCCGACAGAGGCCTGATCCTCGTGGCTCCCGTCTGCCAGCACTGCGAGTCATCATCCCACTTGACTGTCGCGATCGCTGCTCCACAACGTCGCCTCCTAGGATCGTCCGAAGACCGACACCCCGACCCGTCCCCGAACACCGTAACCCACCCGTCCGCCCCCCCGATAATCGTCCAGCGCTCCCGCGCCAAAAGACAGCTCGATGCCCGCGAAGCCTTCCTCATCAAAGCGGGGGAGGGTGAGGTGGACAGGGTGGAGGCCTCTGAGCCACAGCGCGGGGTCGGCCTCCAGGCCTGCCAGGGCCTGGCCGACCAGCGCGCCAGAGGCCCTGAACTCATGAAAATCGTCAGTGTTGCCAGAGCACTCCCAAATCCTGTGCGCCAGCGTCTCTGGCGCCGCCAGGCTGTGCGGGCAGGCGGGAAGAACGTCATAGCCCGCCTCATGTCTGCGGGCCCTCGCCCACTGGCCCCCTCCGACCACTGTGGCGTTGAGGCCCCACTCGCTCCACTTGTTGTGCTTCGCGAAGCGTCGCTGCTCCCTCAGGATCTGCGACGGGTCCGCGCCGTTCTCCAGGCCGCCGCCCGCCTCGTGGAGGGCAGCCTTCCTCCAGAGCTGGTGCTGGAGGTCCTCCTTGGCGTCCGTCAGCAGCGGCACGTGGTCGATGAAACCTCCGAAATCCGCGCTGTCTCTCTGCACGAGGTGCCACTCCGTGTAGTCGTCGCCCGCGGCCCTCGACGCCTGCCTGGACCAGTCGCCCTTGTGCTTGGGCCTGATCCAGCACGTCGCCGAGGTCGGCTCCCAGCTCATGTCCATGAACACCGCCTGCACGGCGCCCAGCGGCCCGCGGACGCGCCTCCAACGGTTGCCCTTGGCCGTGATGAGCGCCTGGCGGACACGCCCCCAGGCCCTGATGATGCGCGGGTGCAGCTCGGGGGCCTTCTCCCACAGTACCAGCCAGGAGTCCAGGACGCTGAGGCGGATGGCGACGCCAGGGTCCTCACCCACCGTGGCCGCTAGGGTGGTGGTGAGGCACCTCCCCCGCGCACGCCCCGCCGCCGCCGCCGCCGCCAGGAGGGAGGAGGAGGAGGAGAAGGAGGAGGAGGAGGAGGAGGAGGAGGTGGAGGAGGAGGAGGAGGAGGAGGAGGAGGAGGAGGAGAGGAGGAGGAGGAGGAGGAGTTGGAGGAGGAGGAGGAGGAGGGAGGAGGAGGAGGAGAGGAGGAGTTGGAGGAGGAGGAGGAGGAGAAGGAGGAGGAGGAGGAGGAGGAGGAGGAGGAGGAGGAGGAGGAGGAGGAGGAGGAGCGGGAGGAGGAGGAGGAGGAGGAGGAGGAGGAGGAGGAGGAGGAGGAGGAGGAGGAGGAGGAGGAGAGAGAGAGGAGGAGGAGGAGGAGAGGAGGAGGGAGGGGAGGAGGAGGAGGAGGAGGAGGAAGGAGAGAGGAGAGGGAGGAGAGGGAGGAGAGGGAGGAGAGGGAAGAGGGAAGGAGGAGGAGGAGCAGGAGGAGCGGGAGGAGGAGGAGGAGCAGGAGGAGGATGAGGAGGAGAGGAGGAGAGGGAGGAGGAGGAGGGGTTGCCCGAGCCCTTCGGAGAAACCCTCCACACACCCACTCACCCCCGGAAGCGCGCGCCGCCGCGGGTGGTCACCCGTCGTGCCCCCCCCCCCCCCCTCCCCCCCACTAGGGGGGCCACATGCGAACCCTACCCCTACCCCCCACGATTTCTGAAGGGGAGGTGGGGTTCACTTCGCTCGGGAGCTCCCGAGCGAAGTGAACCCCACCCCACCCCTCAAAAATCGTGGGGGGTAGGGGTAGGGTTCGCATGTGGCCCCCTACCCCACCGTCGTGACCATGGACATCATCCGCGCCGCTCCTCCGTCTGCTTTCGATGCGTGGGGTCCCGCAAGTCAGGACCCAACCCCCTCGGGCCATGGCAAAATCACGACGGCATGTTTTTTACTATTTTTTGCCTCTGGGGGCCCTCACCGGGCCTCGGGACCATCAACAAAAATACTCAGGATGAAAACCGGTCTGGGGAAATGGGTTCGGACCTCCGGGGGTCGCGTCATGAATCATGAAAAAATCATGGCGTCGGGGGCCTGGGGGGGGCCCAGCGCGGATCCAAGAGATCCGCGCGGAGCGCCAAGAGTGGATGTCCATGCCGTTTTGCCTCTCCGACTCCGTGCAGCCCTGGCCCTGCACGATCCTTCCCAAACATCGGGCTGCTCCATTTTTTTCGATGCGTGGGGTCCTGGAGGTCCAGAGCACTTCCCCGGGGCCGGTGTTCCGTCCCGAGTCGTTTCTGACGCTCGCGCCACGGGGCCCAGACGTGCAGGGGCAGGGGGGGGAGGGGGGCCCGGGCGTGGGCGTGGGCGTGGACGTTGGTGAGGGCGTCGGTGTCGTTGTGCGCGTGCGCGTGCGCGCGCGCGTGTGTGTGTGTGTGTGTGTGTCTGTGTGTGTGTCTGTGTGTACATGCGTGCGTGCGTGCGTGCGTGCGTGCGTGCGTGCGAGCGAGCGAGCGAGCGAGCGAGCGTGCGTGCGTGTGTGTGTGTGTGTGTGTGTGTGTGTGTGTTGTGTGTGTGTGTGTGTGTGTGTGTGTGTGTGTGTGTGTGTGTGTGTGTGTGTGTGTGTGTGTGTGTGTGTGTGTGTGTGTGGGTGTGTGTGTGTGTGTGTGTGTGTGTGGGGGGGGGGGTCAGCGGCCCACCCCTCTCCTCCCCACGCACGATCATTACCGTTAACCCCGGCCCGGGGGGGGAGGTTTGGCCCAGGTAGCGACCGTTACGCGCAAGAGGATACATCTATATATATATATACACATATACATCAATGTAGACATCTATTGATATGTGTATAAATATATGCGCAAAAGAAAACTGACAACACAAATACGCGATGAGGACGCAAGCCACTTGGACGCCCGTGTTGAAGCTTCTTCGAGCGCGGCGGGTCATCGAAAATAGTCAAAGATGGACCAAAGAAAGGGTACCGATACCGCTACTCCCCAGGCCTCTCACGGGGTGCGTTCTGGCCGGGATCTCGAGGCGAGTCCAGCAGTGACGACGAGAGCCTCCCAGGAGGCCCAAAAAGGGCGAGGACGAGACAAGGGCAGCGGCATAGGTACCTTCTCCTCCTCTGGCTTACCATCTGCGTCGACCGTAGCGGGCGCTACGCGCAAAAGGATCCAAACCATCTCCCTGCTGCCTTTCATCGGCCCTCGGCTCGGCGGGGTGAGCCCAGAAAGGAAGTGAGAAGCGGCGGCCCTTCTCGGAAGGCTCGCATGTCCCCCCGTGCCTGCGGAGAGAAGCTTCCCAGGCCTCCCCCGAAGACGCACACAGTGGAGGCCAGTCCACAAGAGACCTCCCACAAGAAACCCACCCCTGAGGCCCCAGGGCGCCAATTGATAGTTGGTGTGGGGACGTCACGCTCTCTAGAGCGAAACCATCGAAACCCAAGAAACCCAGGGCACCCTGGAGGCAAGCAGGGCGTTTCTTGGCATGGGCCCCCACTGTACTCGAGTCTTACGCTTCCCCGAGCCTACTCGGACCCCATCCGGGAGGCCTGGCCTACTGCAGGTCCGTGCCGTGTCGACCCTGGCGTTGGTTCCTGACACCGCGCTGGATCGATCAACCTTGAACGATCGGCCGTCTCCGCAACGTCCGATCGTTCAACATCGACCGATTCTGGGCCGCCGGCGGCGTTCAACGTTGAACGTCGGCGGCGGGGTCGTCGCCGGTCGACACGACGCAAACCTACCGTATCTGAGCAGTGGAGCGCGCGCTCGGTGAACGACGAGGAGGAGGAGGAGAAGGAGGAGGAGGAGGAGAAGGAGGAGGATGAGGAGGAGAAAGAGCGGGGGGAGGAGGAGGAGAGGAGGAGGAGGAGGGAGGAGGAGGAGGAGAGGAGGAGGAGGAGAAAGAGAGAGGGGAGGAGGGGAGAAGGAGGAGGAGGAGGAGGAGGAGAGGAGAAGGAGGAGGAGGAGGAGGAGGAGAAAGAGGAGGAGGAGGAGGAGGAGAAGGAAGGGGAGGAGCAGGAGGAGGAGGAGGAGGAGGAGGAGGCCTTCTCCTGCTCGTCGCCGACAGGAGGCCCGATGCACGCAGCCTCCCGCGCGCGCGCGCTGGCCCCGGCGGGGAAGTGCGCGCCTTCTGGTCCGCCCGGGCCTTGCTGAGCTGGGTGAGGCCGTCGCGCTCCTGGGCGGCAGCGCGCCTCTAGCCCTGCAGGCATCGTGCTGCTGCTGCTCCCGACCCTTCTGCGGGCTGGGCCCTCGCGCTCGGCTCGCGCGCCTCCTCCTCCCCTCTGCCTCCTCCTACCATCCTCCTGCCACATCTCCTCCTCCTCCTCCTTCGCCTTCTCCTCCTCCTCCTCCTCCTCTTTGCTCTCGGTATCCTCCTCCCCCCGTTGCTTTGCCCCCAGTGGCCCCAGTGGCTGCGGCCGCATGGTGGCCCGCCCCACTTCGGCACACCCCTGGCACGTTTCGTGGCCCCCATAGAGCTTCTGCGAAGGCCCCCGACGCAGGGCTCGCATGGCGCTCAGGCCCATCCTGCACTAGCACACACACACACACACCCACACACCACAAGCTTCGTGGCCCCGTATGGGGGTACCGCCTTAGGCCTCAGCGGCTGCGCCCACGTGGGGCCCAGTCCCATTTCGGCATTATGCGCCCTCTTGGGCCTTCTTGAAACGATCTTGAACGCCTCCTGGGCCGCCTTCAGCTGACAGAAGTCCAGAAGCATGAGAATTCCAACAACAACGAAAAACCAACCGAAAACAATTGCTGTTTACCTCGTCGGGCTCTCCTGGGGCTCCCTTTGGATCATCCTGAGCCGTCTTGGGCCGCTCTGGACCATCTTGAAGCACTGCTGGGCCTTCATGAGGCCATCTTAACCGCACAAATTGGGCGCAAAAGGGACGCCTTGGAATGGACATGAATGTAAGATCGGGCGGATTGAAACCCAATGAATTCAAGGAGATGATCCGACTGTAACGAACCGGTCCTGGCGAATCAAAATGGGCGAATCGAAACGGACGAAATGCATGCTCGGGCGGATTTACCGGGCGAAATTAAACCCTGGCGAATCCCACCAGCCCTCTGGGCGTAGGTGGTCTAGAGCAGATCCTCTTCCACCCCTCCCTCTTCCCCCTTGGGGAGGGGTTTACCCCTCCCCCTACCCCCTCCCCTGGACCTGGACGGGGGGGGCCGCGGGTAGTTAGAGCGTCCCAGATGGCCCAAGACGGCTCCAAGAGCGCCTCAGAGAACCCAAGATGAGCTCCAAGATGGCTCAAGATAGCGCAAGATCGCTCGAGATGGCTCCTAAGATGGTTCCAAGAAGCCCAAAGACGGCCCCAAGATAACTCCAAGTGGCCAAACAGCTCCCCAAGGAGGCCCCGAAGAGGCCAAAATCGTCCCAAAACCTAAGGAAAATCAATGATTTTTGCTTTCTCGCCTTTTCGCTTCCGATGGCCATCCGAGGCCTGGAGATGGTTCCAAGATGGCCCAAGAGGGCCCCAAGAGAGCCCCAAAAGAGCCCCAAGACGGCCCCAAGAGCGCCCAAGAGCACTCCAAGAGCGTTCCAAGAGGGGTCCAAGAGGCGATTTTAGGGGCTTCCGAGGGGGGACGCTAATTAAACCCCCCCTCTTGTTTGATCGATCTCCTCCAAGATGGCCCCAAGAAGCGCCCAGGAAGCCCCAAGAGGTCCCAAGATGGCCCCAAAATGGCCCCAAGAGGCCCCCAAGAGGCCCCCCGGAGGCCCCCAAGAGACCCCCAAGAGGCCCCAAGAGCCCCCCCAGATGCACCCAAGATGCTCCAAGAGGCCTCGGCGAGAATGCCTAATCATTGATTCTACACAGGTTTTAGCCACATGGAGGCCTCTTGGGGGGGGGCACGGATTAAGATGACTCCAAGAGCGTCTGGGAGAGCCCAAAATGACCTCCAAGATGGCTCAAGATATCCCAAGATGTCTCATAATGGCTTCCTCTGTGTGCTGCCCACTTCTCTGATCGAGGCAATTCCTCTGGGCATCGTTTCTGGATGGGCTGGTGGGGATTCGCGAAGCGACAACAATTTAAACCGGATGGATTTGCACCCCGATGATTCTGAACCTGATGAATTCAAACGGGTAAACCGAAACGGGTGAATGTGTTGTTGTTGCTGCTGTTGTTGTAGTTGTTATTGTTGCTACTGATGGTGCTGCTGTTGCTGTTGTTGCTGATGATATTGTTGTTGTTGCTGGTGTTGTCGTTGTTGATGTGATGGGGGTTTCGGTGTTTGTGATCGTTGTTGTTAGTGGTGTTGCTGTTGTTGTGCATAATTAGTGTTTATGTTGTTGTAGTTGTTGTTGGTGTTGTGTATGTTGTTGATGGTGGTGTTGTAGGTGTTCTTGTTGTTGCAATTGTTATTGTTTGCCGTGTTTTTTTCTGACCAAGAAACGGTCACCTCTCCTGGTGGTCTCCCGGGCCATCCTGGATGCCCCGGGGGCTGGCCCAAGAGGCCAACACACACACACACACACACACCACATACCACACACCACACACCACACACCGCACACACCACACCACACACCACACACCATACACCACGCACCACACACCCACACCAACACCAACGCCAACACCAAGAACAACACCAACTCACACACACACACACACACACACGCGCACACACACACACACACACACGCGCAAACACACACACACACACACACACGCGCACACACACACACACTCACGCACACAGACACATCAGGCTGCTCTATCTCAGTTTGCCCGCCTCGCGGCGCGTCCAGGATGGCCCAGGAGGCCCCCGAGAGGAGCCCCCAGAGGGTCCCGAGACAGGCACCAAACAGGCTCAATACGAGGGACCCCTCGAAACACCCAGTGGACCCCAAGAGGCCTCCAAGACGGCCACCCCAAAGGCTCCTAAGACGCCCCACGAGGGGCCCAACAGGCCCCCCAATAGGCCCCGAGAAACCTCACGACCCAACCACTAGATCCACCGCCCCCATACCGTAATTAATTAGCCTGCCGGAGAAGTGCTTGGCGTGCCACGACTTACAACTCTCTTCGGCTCCCAAGATGGCCTCCAAGACGTTCCCGAGATAATCAAGAAAGCGAGAGCCCAAGACGGCCCCAAGAAGCTTCCGATACGGCCCCAGATGATCCCACTACGGCCGAAAATGGGGTCAAAAGGCCCCTGGGGCTCACCACCCGGAATTTAGCACCGGAGCTACTTCCCTGAGGTTAATCACCCAGCCCCCACAAAGCGCCGGAGCGGGCACTCCCGCTCTATGGGTCCTTTCACCTTTCACCTTTCACAGGGCGCGCAGCCCTGAAGCAAGACATGCCTACACACCCCGAACAACGTACGCATGCTGTGAAAGAGACCTGACATGCGGACCTCCACTGCCAACCCCTCGGCTGGCTCGTACAGATGCCAACGCTGAAATCTAAACAATTGTAGCAAAACCTCCCCTCCTCGCGCCCAAGATGAAATGGAGATGGAGATCTTGCGCTGGAGACTCGGTGAACCAGGGGACACTGAACCACTGGTGGATCGATCGAAAACGACGAAGCAAAACTCAGAAATCCCAACCCTGTTCAGAGAACGCCTCCACAAGGGATCCACGTGGCATCCATCGCAGATCAGGTGTCCGAGTCGTGACCCATGCCTCGCGCATCTGTGCCAGCCAGTCCCTGGGTAGTCGAAGCCAATCTGGCAGGCCCAATCTGGCAAACGGGGGCAATCTGGCGAGGGAGCCAACGCGAATCCAGTCTGGCGAATAACCTAAATCATCCAGCTTGGCCGGGCCAGATTGGCCCGTGGGGCCCAATCCAATCTGACAGTCTGGCCTTCGACTACCCAGTCCCACAGCCCCGCGCGGTATTTCTGGTCACACCTCACAGCTCAGCCTCGCAATCACGCTCCTGCCATGTCCTCCGCCCTGCCGGCACCCCGCACCTCTCGCACTCTCGCGGCGACGCGACTGCTCTTGTGGCTGCCCCTGCTCACGACAACTCGCTCCTTCGGGATGACCAGCGCGTGAAACGGGCCCTGGAGAGTCATTGGAATTCGCATCGCGACCGCATTCAGGTAAAGCTGGCATGCATGCAGTCAGGGAACAAGAATGGTGCATCTCCGGATCAATGATACACGCACCCTGAAACTATGCCATGCGTGTACAAATACGTTTCCGGCCAGATGCTGCACCCACCAGATCTCCGTTCGCAGACATTGAGACGTCCTGATTTTTTCAAGACGGCGTCCCTGGAAGTCCCGACCGTTTCCCTGGGACCGGCTTTTCATCCTGAGTCGTTTTTTTACGCTCCCGAGGCCCGGCGAGGGCCCCCCGAGGCCGAAAACTAGTAAAAACCTCCCGTCCTGATTTTTGTTACGGTACGACGCGATCATGTCTGGGCTGAAATAGTTACCCAGGAGACCGCTCGAACAAGAGCGTTGCACTGCCCCTGCGCGTCGCTTCATTATCCCTGTTCGCCTTCATCCCCTGCTCTCTCCTCCTATCCCCCCGCCCATCTCCTCGCATCCGCCCTGCCCCCCCTCCGCACACCCTTGCGCCCCCCCCTCCCCATCGACCCATCCCCACCGCCTTCTCCTCCCCTCTTCCTGCCCTCTCATGATGGCCCCTCCACCCCCCCGACTGTGAGCCTTTTCCTCGTCCTCCTCCTCCTCCTCGCCCTCCTCCTCCTCCTCTGCTCCCTCTCCCTCCTCCTCCTCTCCTCTCCTTCCTCCTCCCTCCTCTCCTCCTCCTCCTCCTCCCCCCCCTCCTCCCCCTCCCCCTCCTCCTCGTCCTCCTCCTCCTCCTCCTCCTCCTTCTCCTCCTCCTCCTCCTCCTCCTCCTCCTCCTCTATGACCCAGATGGCGGGCTATCTTCTCGAAGCCCTCGACGCTGATGATGCTCCACCAGCTTTCTCCAACAACTCTCTGCACAGAGCTCCTTACGGGACCTTCCGTCGCCTGCCGAGCCACTCTGTTGTCTGCTGTGCTGACGGACGTGTACGAAGGATTCACTTCAACCTATTGGCTTTTGTCAATCGCTGCGTGTGCGCTGCCTGGTTGGTGTGACTCAAGGGCCGCGTAAAAGGCAGCGGTGCGAAGGAGTGGGCGGTGAGAGGCGACAGACAGGGAATGCCCATGACAAATTACACCCTAGAGAACCAAACAACTGCATAAGCATAAGCTTCAGAGGGTCGCACGGATTTCTCGGATCTGCGCTGGAGTCCCCTGGCGGCGCCTCTGGTCCGCCCCTTGCAGGCTCCGCGCGCCAGGGAAGGGAGCTCAGCGCCGATCTGAGACATCTGCGCGGACCTGCGACAATTTGTGTCATGCAGTTTCTGTCTGACCGTCAAACCATGTATCAAGGACGGGTGGTAGCGACGCAAGACCCTTGGAGGCCGAGGTCAAGATTTTTTTGGACGGCGGGCGACCGGTGAAAACGGCAGAGGACGGGCCGCGGAAGCAAGCACACAAGGGTACCCTAGATTTACGTCGGGCGTGGCGTGTCCCACTACAGGGGGATTTTGGACGAACAATCAAAAACAATCAAACAAAAACCTCAAAATGGTCCAAAAATAATAGAAACATCGTCCCCTGACTATTGTTTGCTTATCTTTGAATATTCCTCCTCTGTAGAGGGGGCCACGCCCAACTTAACCCTAGATGAGTGCGCGCGTCCTTACTGGGCGCGTTGGCTGCGATCGACACCCTGCCCCCCCCCGCCGCCCTGCCCTCCCTACTCGGGAGCGGCCAAGAGGGGGGTGTCCAAGAGGGGGGAGAGCAAATCACGACCGGCGGCATGCGCGCGGCCCAACGAGGGGGCCAGGGACGCAACGAAACAAGAAGAGGCGCCGTGAGATCTGGGGAAATGTCATGGCCCCCGCCACGAGATCCACCCCCCCCCTGGCCATCACCCCCCTCTCTGCCGCCCCCGAGATCCTCCGACCCCATCTGCTCCGAACCCACCCGAGGGGCCCAGACTCCCCCGCGGCGTCATGACATGAGAAGAGGCGCCGTGAAATCTGGGGAAATGCCATGGCCCCCGCCATGAGATCCACCCCCCCCTAGCCATCACCCCTTGCGCGGTGTTTGCCTCCCCCATGCGCTGCCCTCGTTGGCTGCAGGAGGGAGAGGAGGAGGAGGAGGAGGAGGAGGAGGAGGAGGAGGAGAAGGAGGAGGAGGAGGAGAAGGAGGAGCAGGAGGAGGGGGAGGAGGAGGAGGAGGAGCAGGAGGAGGAGGAGGAGGAGGAGGAGGAGGAGGCTCTCTGCCGCCCCCTCCCATCTCTCCTCCCCCCGCTCCTCCGCAATCCCCGCTCCTCCGCACCGTTGCCCGGACCGCCCGTTCCCCGTGCATCTCTGCAGGGGCCCTGGGAGGCACACCAAGAAATAGACACGGATCACCGGATTCCCCATATATTTTCCCATACAGGGCGGGTTTTAATCCATAGGATCGTTCAACATACAGGATGTTTCCCATATTTTCGCATACAGGGCGGGTTTTTAATACATAGGATCTGTCAACATGTAGGATGTGGAATGCATGATTCATGTATGAATGCATGTATGCATGAACTCATCTCTGTCTTTATTACTAAGCCCCCGCATGCTGAATACATGATCCGCACGCGGAGCATGTATTAAAAGCAGCACTCTAGTTTCTGTCTTTGTCTTCCCCCCCACTTGCCATATTTTCCAATATTCTCTGGGGAATCGACGATCAATCGTGTCTCCTCCTGAGCATCTTTCGGCGGTGTACAAACCTCCCTTTTATAAACCACCCTTGAGTGAAAACGGCGTGGGACCGAAACCGACGGACCCAGACACGCAAAAATGACGGCCGCGACGCCCTGTCGCGAACCGAAAACGGCAATTTCGCTAATCGACGTGTCAGGGTAGGAAGTCTATCAACCTCCGAATCTTTACGACGAAGCCAAAACGAGGATACCGTCGGGTGAGGATAAGTCAAGAATCTATGAGATCCTGTGGCTTTGGAGAATGTCTCGGGCGCCGCGGCCCTCTCAGAGAGTTCCGGAGCGACTGAGAGCGTTCGGGAACGCTCGAGACTGGATTCATCCTGGTCCTAGCCCCGTCCGAAATCGTTATGTGTCGTGCGTGCTCTTGTGCGCAGGATGACCCGAGATGATTCTAGACGGTCCAGATTTTCTGGTCGCAGCTGGCCGCGACAACAACGGAGCAAAGAAATGCATAAACGGACCCAATGAGTATGCCGTCTCTCTGTCTTCCCTGCCTCCCCCTGGCGTGCTCACGCGATGATTTTCTGCGGCGCCTCTCCTGCATGTTATCATATCCCTTCCAACGAAGAGCCGCCAACAGTGCTCTCTTCTGCCTGCGCGTTCTGCTGGATGCTTGGATTCGTGGTGGTGGCCTCGCCAAGAAACATGCACACGTCCGTGCGATGCCAAGCCCTCCCCGCCCCCCCCCCCTCCCGAGGAGCAACAGAAGTACTAGGTCGGGCCTGTCCTCCACAGGCGGATTTTGGACGGATGCTGAAAAATACTAGACAAAAATGCGCCCAAATAATTAAACATTGTCAAACAATAGTCCCCAGACTTCTTTTTTTGTGTTACCATTTTTGACCTCCTGTAGAGGGACACGCCCGACTTAACACAAGTACCCCCAATCCTTTGGGAGGGGACCTCAGTCAGGAGGGTGAGGGCCAAAAACATCAGGGACAGGGGGGTCGTTTTTTGCAGATGTCGCAAGCGACCCCACCCACACGATCAGGGAGAACCCTAAAACCCGATGACCTAAGTTGGGCCACTACAGTCATCGGCCTGACCTAAGGAACGATACATAAGGAACGAAACACCTTTCTTTCCCGAAGGGTTAACGCATAGGGAACGCTTGATGATACATAACGCACAGAGAACGATAAATAACGCATGCAAGCCTAAGGAACGACCGAGCCCCTTTTGAAAAGTAGGTGTTCCAAATTCAGGCCGCTCACTGTAATTGATTGTGTTATCAGGGTCAGGGGCTGCATCGTGCTTTCAAGTACAAGGGGCCCAGTGACACACAAAGAAATAGATATACATCCCCAGATTCGCCTTGGGTTTTCGTCTTCCCCCCCACTTCCCATATGTCCCCATCTTTTCCCGGGAGTCGACGACTAGTTGTGTCTGTACCTTTTCCCCTCCTGATTGATGTTAGGTCGGGCGTGCCCCCCTGCGGATGTTGGAAGATGCACAAACCATGTGAAAAAAATTGAAGAATCATGCGAATACTGATACTGCGAGATAAATCAATAGTCACAACTCACCAAGAGAAAAGTCCCCATACTATTTCTGACTCTTGTTGAACCTTACTCCTGTAGAGGGACATGCCCGACTCAAAGATTCATGGCCTCCCTCCCGAGGCCATCGCCCGCCGCGGCGCGCGGGGGAGGGGGGGGGAGGCCCGCGCGAGAAGCGCCACCGGGAGGAAGGCCTGGGCCAGGAGGAGGAGGAGGAGGATTAGGAGGAGGAGGAGGAGGATTAGGAGGAGGAGGAGAAGAAGGAGGAGAAGGAGGAGAAGGATTAAGACGACGAGGAGGAGTGGGGGGGGGAGGAGGAGGAGGAGGCGGACGAGGAGAAGGAGGCGGAGAGAGCAGTAGGAGGAGGGGGAGGAGGAGGAGAAGGAGGCAGAGGAGGAGGAGGAGGAGGGGGTGGGGCGGCCACCGTGCGCCGACGCCTGCGGGTTGATGTCCCGGAAGCAGGGCGCGAGGTCGTCCTCTCGAAAGGGGGAACCGCCAGGCGGGAGGGGGACCCCTCGCTCGGATCCAGGCGGCGGGCAGGGGGGGGAGCCGCCGGGCCGGGGGGGGGAGGGGCGGCGAGCAGGGTGCCCAGGGCACCCTGCTCGCCCAGGGCGCCCTGGAGGCGAGCAGGGTGCCTCTTGGCATGGGTCTCCACTGTACCCACCGCCGGCCGACGTCCCAAACAAAGGTCGAACCCCCAAGCGGTGGTAACGGATACACCCCCGCCATGGGAAGGGGGCCACTGCTCGGACGCCCACTCGCTCGGACCGGCGGCGGGCCAGGGGGGGAAGCGAGAAGGGGCAGGCCTTCTCGGAAGGCTCGGACGTCCCCCAAGCCTTCTGAGAAGCGTTCTGAGCCTCCCCCAGCGACGCCGAAGACCTCCCAGAAGGCGCCAGGGCTTCTAAGGAGCCCCGCCGCCGTCTGAGAAGGCCTTCTCCTCCTCACTTCCCCCCCTCGCTCGCCGCCGCGTCGACGCCCACCCCCCGTGCGGTTTTCGGGTTCCTGCGCGTGCTGCCTGCCTTGCAAGCGGCGGGGGGGGGGGGCATCGCCCAGGCGCCCATCTCCCGTGCAGCAATCGGCCTCCTGCGCGTACTGCTACTAGACCGTCCTCGAAGCAGGGGAGCCGCCAGGCGGGAGGGGGGGGGGGCGAGGCGGTGTATATGCATATCCACCCCCTGTCGAGCCGACGTCCTGGGACCCCAGCGGGCCGTGGCTGCAGTGGAGGCCCGTCCACAAGAACCCTTCCACAAGAAACCCAACCCTGAGAGTCCAGGACGTCCATCGACTTTTGGTGTGGGAACGTCACGCTTTCCATCGCAAGGCCGTCGGAACCCAAGAGACCCAGGGCACCCTGGAGGCGAGCAGGGTGCCTCTTGGCGTGGGTCTCCACTGTATCCACCGCCGGCCGACGTCTCCGAAGGTCGAACCCCCAAGCGGTGGTACTGGACAAGTCCCCGCCTCGGAAGGGGAGCCTGCTTTCTATTCAAGCGCTTCAACATTGGGCGGAAGGGGGGGGAGGGGGGGGTCTGGATCCGGACCTCTGCTTAGTGCGACTGTTTGAAGCCGTGCGTACTACGTGGGGAGACCCCACGTGCTCGAAACGAGCGCCCGAAAACAGCCAAGATCTACTCCACGGGGGAGGGGGGGAGGGGGGAGGACCCGCGCCGATCGGTAAAACAACGAATAACAAACGATCACCAACGGGAGCTAAACTTAGGTCGGGCATGTCCCCCTATAGGGGGATTTTGGGCGAAGCATGCAAGTGCCCAAAACATGCTCAAAAATCAGTTCAAAAATGAGCAGATCGTCCCCTGCCTATTTTTGTTGAACTCTTTTTGCATATCCCCCCTGACTGAGATCCTGGACGTGCGGCTCCAGAAGGCGCCTGAAGCGCTGCTGCACTCGATGTCGCTCCAGAACGCTGCAACAATCGAGACGGCCCGAAGAGGCAGAGCAGCGACAACTGACTCAAAAGGGAACAGCGAGACTGAATGCTGTGGTGCGAACGAGTGCTTCTCACGCATCCGGGAAGGGCGCGCAAGTCCTAGCTCATCTGCGCCAAGAAACACGATTCCAGAGGCTAGGCAGCGGTGGCTCCTCGTACACCACATCCGAAGGGATCTGCTTGTTCAAGATCTTATCGAAGATAGTCGGTGGAGCAGTGTCGGGCACCCTGCGTCGCAAGTGCATCAACAATCGCGCATGCAATTCTCCCCTCTGAGGCAGAAAAAGCTGGGGGGGGGACTGGCTCAGCGGGGGGAAGCATCGACCTGGAATCGACAATACCTGGCCGATAGGTGGGCGACCGGACCCCGATGGCACACCCGCGCGCTCCTGGGCAGGGTGGGCTATCGGGGCCCTGTCGGCAATGAACGGACACGTGGGGTCGATGCGTCCCCCCTGGAGCCGACGTATCCCCCCCTAACGTTTGCCCCCGAAGTTCTCCCCCCTCCATGCCCAGACATGTGAGCCTTTTTTTGATTCGGCGTTTCGACATTGAGCGACGAGGGGGGGGAGGGGGGGGGTCTGGCTCTGGACCTCTGCTTCGTGCGACTGTTTGCAACGGTGCGTCATATAAGGGGACTCCACCCTCGAACGAGGCCCCCCAAAACAGCCAAGATCTACTCCATTAGGGGGGGGAGGGGGGGGGGTTGGGAGCCCGCGCCGATCGGCAAAA